TGACAGGAACTGGGGTGGGGAGGGGCACTGTGAGCAAGAATGAACGTGACTCTTCAGTGAATGAGGAGGAGTAACTAGGAGGTGACACCGACAAGGAAGGTGGAATAGTTGCACCCACAGACTTCACCCTGAAGGTGTGCCCTGAGTCTGGGCGTGGCAGTGAGGGGCAGTGAGGACGCCAGCCCCATGCACTGCCCCTGAGGCTCCTGGGACAGGGGAGGAGAGGCAGCCTCCACTCGAGGGATCTGCTGGGGGGGAGGCATCCTCACAAGGCAGCCATGTTTTCATTGAGTCAGGAGGTGAAGAGAAGACCCTTTGAAAAGGCTGAGGACAGGGTGGACATTCCTGAGGCCACGGGGGAAGAGTTTGGGAGAGAGAGGGGAGGTGAGAGGACAGCTCAGGTGATTAGTTCCTGGCTGGAGATGAACTATGGGTGGTTGTCATACAAGTGTGTGCCAGGGCCTCACCCAAGACCCACTGAATCAGAATCTCTGTGGGCTGGGGGTTCCCATGTGAACAGACACCTCCGGGCATCATGAGATGCAGCCAGGTGGGGAGCCTCCTGCACTAGAAGGTACCTGTGAAACAAGTAGAATGATGGGGATTTGGATCAGGGTCCCAGCACTGAGCAACAGGAAAGGAATGGATTCCACGAGCATTTTAAGGATGACTCAAGGCAAGGCTGAGAGGCAGAGTGAGTCAAAGGTGATTGGAAGCCTGTTGTAAAGACCTAAGTTATGACTCTGTTTTGATTGCTAAGTTGTAACTGCATTTCAAACTGACTTATGTAAAGGAGAATTTATTGACTTCATAAATGAACTGTCCAAGGTGAAGGTCGGGCAAACCTGGGTTCAGGTGCTCTAGTGTTGCCATCTGAGATCTGACCCACCACCTTCTGACTCTGATTTCTACTCCCTTGACTGTCATTCAGTCTCTGCCAGTATGGTGACCAAGGTGGTTGCAATCAGCTCCAGCCTTAGCAACAGGTCCTTAAAAGTCCTGGACAGCAAATGTCTACTCCAGTCCTCTTTTATAAAAGATAAGTGAGAACATAGTTAGCCATCGGACAGAGCAGGGGAAGTACAATTCCCCATCATCCATTCCCCTCCAAAGCCTGGTCATTCACGGGGTAAAGGAGTCTTAGGTTCATTGACTGGACTTCCCTTGATCCTTGCAGAGTCTTCAGGTGACATTTGAGAGGGGCTGAGTGTGGCACTGGTAGGAGTTGGTGAAAGGCACACCACTTCAGTGCCCTTAAACTCGATTATTCATTGTGACCACACAACACAAACGCTTATTACCTGAAGCCTGAGACTTTGAGTGTAACGTGAGAGGAAATAGAGTGAGGGCGCAGAGGTCTCGCTAAACCCCAGCCACTGATACTTTAACTGCCACCAGGAGAGGCTTTTCTTTTTCTTTTTCTTTTTTTAGTACCTGTCACCAGACACCAAAAAAGATTGCAGGCCCCAGCCCCTGCTCTTTGTACCATGCAGTCCCAAATCACTGAAGCCTGCAGAGAAGAGAAGTGGCCTGCTGTGCTGCAGGGAAAGGCAAGCTTTTTTAATTAAAAAGAGAAAGGGCCATGAGGGTATAGCTCAGTGATAGAGTGCATGCTAAGTTCAATTACTTAGTACCCGGGTCCAATTCCCAGTACCTCCATTTAAAAAATAAATAAACCTAATTACCTCCCCCCCAAAACAGAAAAAAAGTATTTGTCAAATAGTTGGATACACAAATAAAACGAACAATTACATCATAATTTCTGTGTATCCTGCACTCATCTTAAGAAATAGAAACATATGTCCCCAGAGATATCCATTGCCCTGCCTTTGATGGTTTTCATCCTCATGCAAGATTACTTCATACATCTGGGAACAACACACAGGGCTATTTTGCTGGTTTTTAAGCTTCATCAAAATAGTATCATCAATCACTGTCCTTCTACAAATTGCTATTTTTCCTCTGTCATTAGGTTGATACGTGACTTTCTGGTTTGTTCATTTTTCACTGCTATGTAGTATTCCGCTTAAACCTGTCAGATATATTCATGATTCTCCTATGCCTGGACAGGAAAGTTATTTCCAACTTTTCAGTTTTTATAAACAGGGCTGCTGTGAACGTTCTTGCCTGGGTTCTGTGCAAATGTGCAAGAGCTTCTTCAGGTCATATGTGCAGGAGTGGAATTGGAAGGGTGATGGTGTATATATATCTTCACTCCTGCTCGATGTTGTCAGACGGCTCTTCAAAGTGTGTGGGGCAACTTACACCACCTCCATCCGTGTCTGAGCTTTCCCTCCAGATCCACTCCATAACACGCATGGTCCATCTTTTATTTCTAAATTTTTGACAATCCGAAAATAAAATGTAACCTGTTTCTTGTTTGAGTTACTGAGGCTCACACTTTGTATTCATAAATTGTGCTCTACACTGGAATTTGACACGACGTTGTAAAATGATTTTAAATCAATAAAAGATGTTAAAAAAAAGATAAATATAAACTAAAAAAAAAACCTTTTTATTCATGTAGAAGCCGAGTATGTAAATCTAAACTAGGCAGAGTT